TTGAAATTTAATGAAAAAAATAGATTTTAACAAATCGCTTTGTGCCTAAGGGTCTTTTTAAATTTTTTTGAAAAAGATGGGAAAACATATGAGTGAGTAATAATGACCAAAACAATTTTTACGAACCAAATTCCTTATTTTTGGACATTTATATATATTTTTGGACATTTATATATATTTTTTTATTTTCTTTTTTAAATACCAGAAGATTAGTGGTTGGATCACCCGGTTTTTCCAACGGTTCTCTTATCCAACCTAATAATAATTCTACAATCATAATTTTCAACATGTTTTCATCCATCAATTCTCCCTTAAATATCCTTCTATTCCTCTCCTTCCCGATTTCTCACATAATTGCTTCTAATCTTCGGTTGATAAGGAAGATGAAGGTGATCCATAATTTCAGTTTTGTTTCTTGAAAGATTTACATAACCCATCCTCTGGAAAGCCCAAGTCCAAATAAGGTAAATGTAATAAAGGATCTCCATTCTCTTCATCATACGACATACAGATGCTTACTATGACCCTTCCTCTTTTCCTCAATTAGTCCACTGTAAACACTTTACCAAAACTTGCAATCCATAAGAGAACTTGCACCTTGTGGGGCACAGCCTAACCTCAAATCGGCCCATCGTAGTTTGCCATGAAAAGAAGTAAATAGAGCGACTTGACCGAAAAGAGTCCATCTGCCTCAAGATCTCATACAATCTCTTCCTCCTTATTTGGGGTCCATATACAATTTTTTTTTTTTTGGATGAGTCTGTGGGGAGAAGGTATTGAGCTTAGGACATAGCCTTGCAACCAATTAAGCCCGGGCTCTAACATAGGAAGTTGTAAAATGATCAGATCCGACACTTTATTATACCTAGCCGGTGTTGAAGCCCTACCAAAAACCCCCTACTCTACCTTAATATTTGATTGTCCACCAGGCGATATAGATCTGGGAATTGAATTTTCATTAGCAGAGTTTTCAAACCATTTGTGTGGCCAAAACAATTATTTTTGTCACCAGCACCCACCATCCACCTCGTATTTCCTCCACCAAATTTAGATGATAATGATCTATTCATGTATTTTAGCTTTTTAATAATAAGACCTCCTTCTTTCTTTGGCATATAAACTTAGGAAATTGTAAAAAAAAAACCTCTAAAATAGACTTTCTAAACAATTTACACCCAAACTAACTTTTTTTTGGCAACTTCCCCCAAAAATCAATGTTCTAGCAAATACGACCAAAAAACCATGTTTCCTAGCAAATACCCCAATACAAAAAGTTAATTTCTTTTTTACAAAAATACCCTTTTTTTACATAACAAATCATTTTCGCTGGAGGGGGCGGTCTGGAGTTTGGAAGAGGCGGTCCACCGATTATTTTGCTGGAATGGGAAGTCCGACGTTTTGAAATAGCAGTTTGGGATTTTGAAGGTGCACTCCGGCGTTTTGAAGTGGCGGTATGGCATTTTGAAGGGGCAGTCCAGCGTTTTAAAGTGGCGGTCCAGTGTTTTGAAGTGAGCAATCTGGCGTTGTACAAGTGTGGTCGGGCGTTTCCTTGGGATTCGAAATGATTTGTTACCTTCGTATCCGAAAATGATTTGAACTTTTTTGTATTGGGGGTATTGGCTAGGAAACATGGTTTTTGGGGAGAAGTTGCTAGGAAAAATTAGGTTGAGGGTAAATTAATTAGAAAGTCTATTTTTGGGAATTTTATGCAATTTTTCCCGTAAACTTTGTCTCAAATACGACAATGGATAGGGGTAACAAGGAGATGATTTTATTTGGTATATTTTAGAAAAAGTGGATTTGATTGAAGTAATTCTTACCCCAAAGATATTTTACGTTTCATAGATCAAACTTAAAAATGAAATCTTTAGATTTTAGGATCTCACACATATCTAGGTAAGATATAGTTTGAAATTACCATGTCGAAATATATCATTGGAAAACCTTCCATTTTGCAACGAAAAATCTCAGTTATCTCTTCCACTATCCCCCTAGGACACGCAATGCAAGTCATAGAAGTTTTCTTTCCAAATTGTTTTTTAACCCAAAAAATAACTTCACAACACCTAATCAATTTTGGCAGCAAAACATTGGACGAAAATATTGGAGATGATCAATTTTGGAGGAAAATAGTTATGGAAAAATATGGAGTAAATAGGAAACGACTTTTGAGTAGGAGGCAAGGGAGTAGGCCTTCACCAATTTGTAGATGGATAAAGCTATCTTTGAGCAAAATATGAGATGAAAGGTGGGTGTGCGTGACAAAACTTTGTTTTGATCACATAAATGTTTCGGAAACGTTGCCCTGTTCAATTCCCAAATCAATGTCGCCTTGTGGAGGAGGCTGTTTCTTCAACACCCTTTGAAGATTTGCCAAAAGGGGCTGGGTCATAGTGGCATCCTCACACCCAGTTATCACATCGTGGTATCCATTCCTACCATTGACACTTTCAATTAGCACTTTAAAAAATGTAACTCTTTAATCTATTGAAAAAACGGATCGAGGCAAGTTTTTCCCACTGAATTACCAAAAAAAAAAGAAGTTATTTACATATAAGATGGAGCCTTGCATATGATCATTTCTTAATTACATATGTTGTTATAAGATTTGAGTGAGGTTTATGTAAACCCAAATAAAGGGGACGATATTTTATGGGAGCTTGAAGCAATGGAATTTCTAAGCCTGTCTCTCTAATTACTTTTTTTTTCCTAATTCGAGGCAAGCAAAGGTGTGGAAATGGTCTCATGGTGCAAGTTCTCAATTTGAATGTAAGTTTAGGCAAAGTGTTGACAATGAACCAATTGATGAAAAGAGGGAGTGTCTTTGTTCATCTCAAGTTCCATTTCTACGTAACCTTGTCAAAAAAGAAAAAAAGAGGAAGTGTCCTTGTTAGCATCTGTATGCTATGTAAGAATAATGAAGAGAATGAGGATCATTTGTTCCTCAGTTGCCCATACACTCATAACATTTGGACTTAGGCGCTTCGAAGGATGGGCATTCATTTAACTCTTCTAGGAAGCTACTTTGAAAATATGGATCAACTTCATCGTTCTTATTGGTCAAAGGTTGAAAAGGTAATCTAGAGAGCATATTGGGCAACAATTATGTGGGAAATCTAGAAGGAAACCAATAGTATTTGAGGAAGAGTTGATTTATGTAAACATTTATGTAGAAAAATAGGATTCTAGAATCCTCATTCAGCTGGGTAAGTGTAAACATGGAAGGTAGGGGCATAACCATGAGTGATGTTATGATCAATGTCGATAATGCAGTCAAGATGGGTAAAAGAAACACATAAGCCTTCCCCAATATCCATTGCTTCCAACCAAAATGATCTCAACCTCCATGGTCGCCTCCAAACCTTATTAAACCAACTAATAACATTCAAGGAGTCTCCTTCAATAACACAAGGATACTGAGAGTTTTGTTCCTTCAAAATTTTTAATCCTTGAAGAACTGCTAACATCTCCGCCTCATTAGCTGTTCTTTTACCACACGTCCCTGCAAAATAGAATAGGATAACACCATTAGAATCTCCCGCAACCCCCCCTGTTCCAGTTGGACCCAGGTTTTCATATGAGCTGCCATCAATATTGAGTTTCATACTTCCCACCCCCGGAGCTTTCCATTGTCCTTTAGGTATTGTTTTAATAGAAGTTTGCTGCATAAAATTGAGATAATTAACTTCTATATCAGCTTTAGAAATACCAAACCTTCTTATCACCAAAAACCAACTCCATAAAGTGTGTAATCTTTGGTGTCAACATTTGGGGTCGCTACACAAATCTTGATGTAGTTATGTAAGCAACTGGTTTTATTGATGTAAGTTGCACCAAAACAAAAAAAAAAACAAATGCCTCTAACATCAATGTTCTATGTTAGAGGAATGGTGGGGAAGGCGGGATCAAATATACATACTGTTTGTGCACGTGTAAAGTGTTTGGGAAGGAAGCTCCTAAGCCGGACTTTAGTAGGGGGATGCGGTTACACATGTACATGTGAGGCGGGGGACTCAAAAACCCTAGCCTTGTTTTATTTAAACTTTACACGGGAAAATTGACCTTACAAATTGCTGATTCCTTCTTGAATGCTGATACTTTTCCTCCTTGGTCTTGCGTGCAAGTGAATTTTTCCCATTGGTCATTGTCAGTTCTATGGATAATGCATACATAATCTCTTTGTTACTAGTAACAATAGCTGAACTCGTCAATGAGTGGTGTTACCCAAGTGTGTTACTGTTTTACATCTTTTGTTAATATCAACCAAATTCATGAGTAGTGTTAATATTTTATACATTGTGCAAGAGAAATGTTACGATCAAATTATATTATTATGATTAGGCGATTCTGACCAAAAATCAAAGGAAAAAGTTTATATAAGGTACTATAGAAGTAAGGCCCACATCAAAAAATCCAATAGAAAATAGTGTTTCGAAATTAAAAAACCTTCAAATTGATCATCTCAACCACAATATGGCATAAGAAAAACGAATTTCAAGTTCTAAAAACAATGCATCATATAAAACATTATCTAGACAATCTCTTTTCAATATTTTCAAATGTTTATAGATCTATTCGATCTGCATCACTTTTGAAAATTTAAATTTTATTAATTATTTTTTTAACATGGATTTTCAAATCATCATAAGGTTTCCAACACCAAAAATATATCTTCCAACGAAATTTAGATGTGTGCCAAGATGAGTGCCTTCTACAAACCTCACCCAAAATCAAATGGCCGCTACTAGGAACTACATGTCCTAATCATACTATCAATTGATCTTGGATTACTCTAAAAATAACACAATTGCTAGCTGTGAAATTAACAATTGAATTACGGTGAGGTTTGTGTAAGATTGCCTCCTTATAATTTAGAAGTAAGGCGCAACTCTAAAATTTGATTGGAGATATCGTTCCAGTGTCGAAAACCTAATGGTAGCTTGAAAATCTATTTCCATCCTTCCAAACTAAAATTCAGAAATGCATATCCCTTGAATCACTACAGAAACTCCTCAATTGCATTCTTGCAAAATCAGAGTTCTTACATCCATTTTGCAACAGTATGTGCTTCAAGATGACAACCATACAAAGGCTTCAACATCGGAACAGAAGCACTTAGCCTTTCCAGTTCTCCAGAGATGCATATTACATCTTAATATTTATTGGGAACTTATAAATCATACAAATGATTGTGTTGCAACAGGAGAACGAGTATGTCTCCTCAAATAACAGATTGTGATAAGGGGAGATGGCATTACTTGCCAGAACACAGGCATGTCCGTTGTCTCACTAACAATTGCATCAGTTTCTTGATCAAATGGGGTTGCTTGCACATATAGTCTTCAAAAGACTTCCTCAAGCCCTGCAATATCATGGGGCTATAGTTCCCTTGACAATTGAGCAAGGTTGTAAACATGTTTTGCCAGAGATCAATGTTCCAGTACCTGAAACTCAATTAGATATATCCATACATTAGGAAACCAACAAAGACATCTACAATGAAAAGCGAAGACGAAGAACTATGTCAATTAGTACTTTGCATTTGGTAAAGAATATGGTCTGTTGGATGTATCATCCTGACATTCCTGAAGGGAAGTGTAAGAGACGCATCATCACCTTTTGGTTCGTGCTAGAATATAACACCCGCAGAGAGAGAGAGAGAGAGAGAGAGAGAGATGCATAATCCTGAAATTTAATAATCATGGAGGAATGAAAATCACTGTGTAGATACAGTCATTTTTTGGTGCCCAAGAAATCTAGTAATTTTGCCAGGCAAAATTGTATTCAAGGCCTCAAGAGACCTTAGTACATATCCAAGATGCAGCAGCATCACAATGTTTTCCCAGGTAAAGATCGGAAAAAAAATGCTGCATAAGTGTGCCTGAATGGAAAGTCTAATGTGCATTCAATCCAAACTGCAACTTGAAAATATAGAGCCAGAGAAAACTTGGCTCCTAAATACTCACAAAAAGTGTGGAAGAGCCAGAAGGAGAATACGTCAGTACCTTTTCAAATAAGATTTGGGTTGATAAAGAACAGACCCATCGGCACCGATTTTTTTCTCTAGCTCCATGTATTGCCCATGTAGCATCATGTGAACAACGACACAAAGACCATAAATGTCCACCTAGAAGATGTTAAGGGAAAACTATAATGAGTGAATTTCCATAAATATTAAAGTAATGCTTTCTGAAGAAGACAAAAATGGGAATTGCCTGAAATTTCCATGGCCGATTCTCTTGCATCTCAATACAACGGAAATTTGAAGTCCTACAATCCGCATGGAACTCTATATCAACAGGGAAGAGACTCAAGTCAATTCCTCTTCCCCAATCTATAAGGCAAAGTCCCTGCACTTCAAAACTACACTCATTATTCACAAACTGAATGAATGTAGAACTATCCAATTGTTGAGACTTGACTTAATAGTATTCACCTGATCTTCCCAGGGCCCACTGCGACTAAGAAATGCATCCTCCTGTGGGTCACCACTATTGAAAAGGTAGGAACTAACTTAGAACTATCAAATCAGAAATAGCAATTGTATTTGACCAATCAAGTAAGGATGATGATAAATCTTACAGAAAGAACTGAAAGAAAGGACCATAAATTTAGATTGGGAAGCCGCACAAGGCTCCACAAGTAATTTACAGAAAATTACTCCATGAATAAAGATATGCATTACTTACAAGATGCTACAATTTATATTCAACAAAAAGAGGAAAACAATGATTTCTGGGTGATGCAGAAACCAGAAATAGGAGAACTTATATAATCTACCACGAAACAATATTACTTGTCGGTCACCACTTAAGCAAATAGACGGGTTCATGGATTTTCAATTGCTAACTGAAAAACAATAAATTCCGTTGATGAATAATACCCCTTTGTTTTATCTGCTAAATGTTCGACAATAAATTCAGATCATGAATAATACCCCTTTGGTTAAAGGGGTATTATTCATGAACGGAATTCTCCTTTTGGGTCTTCCAGACTTTTTGTGAGTATTTAAAGGGTCTGCTATCATGAACGAAATTATTCAAAGGGGTCTAATGTTCCCATGAAATCTTTTCTCAGATAGTTAAAGGGGTATTATTCATGAATGGAATTATTCAAATAGCAGACCCTTTAAATTCAGATCATGAATAATACCCCTTTGTTTTCATTAGATGTCACATTAGATGGCTTGGGGTGAGTCACAAAGTCCAAAAAAAGTTTTTTTGGAACTTTGTGTCGATTCAATGACACTCTTACAACCACCCATTTTGAAATTTAAGGGATAAAAATGATTATGACCTCCATATACAAAAGATAAAATATCTCTTTATAGATAATCCCTTATTGAAATTGGTGGAGAGAGAGAGAGTAGATATGACGAGAGGAATTTTGTTGTGAAGCGCATGAATAACTGGAGAGATGGACAATAGTTCTTAGATTTTGGTGTATTTTAAAGGGTTAGTGAAACCCCTTTTATAAGCTACGGAGCATATCCCCTTACCACCTTTTTATAGGCTTTGTAGCTTATCCCCTTGCTACATATGGCAGGTTTTGCATCCAATGGTCAAGATCTCTTTGCCCATATCAATAGCTAAGCCTTTCTTCTCCATTCTCTCTCTCTCTCACTCTCTCTTTTATCCTAAAGAAAACGTTTTGGTTTAACATGACCGTTAGAGCATTATTGATGGATGGCTTAAAAAGAAAAGAGAATGACATTTACCAAAAAAAGGTTAGTCAAACAATTTAAAAGAAATTAGACCATTATAGAAAGTACATAATATTATTAATTACATTTGAAATAACGAAAAGAGAGGGACCATAAAGTAAATGGTAGTCATGAAGCCTTTGTGGCTAGACTCCAATACCTCCCACTTGGCAAAAAAGGCCGAATATATCAATTTTGCTAAGCCACAAGGTTTTGCCTGTTCAAGGTTTTACCCAATATGACATGGTCAACTACAAGCCTTTATCCATCTACAGGATTTAATCTTTTGTAGCATTCAAAGGTGTCTCTTGGGAGAAAACTCTATATTTGTCTAAGTCTCATCATGGTCATATGCTTGGAGACTATTTCAACAGCCAATCGCTTAGTTAAAGGGTCTGCTATCATATCCTGGGAATGCATATAACTTATTGCAATTTCTTTTTGTTCCACTATGTCTTGGACTTCTATGAGTCTTCCCTTGGAGCTAATTGCTCTATTTGTAATCAACGGAATTACAACATGGTTATCACAAATTATTTGAACTGCCTCGTCGGTTATTTCCACCTTCAAATCCCTAATGAAGTGGCTTATCCAAAAGGCAAAAGTAGAGCTAAACTACAAGAGATATATTCCGCTTCCATTGTGCATCGGGCAACATATTCATATTTATTACTAAACTAAGAAACAAAACCTCCAACAAAGAGGAAAAGATTTCCAAAAGTGGATTTTCTATATCAAGATCTCCTAGGAAATCTGCATCTGAGAATCCTTGAATTTGTAGGTTATCAGCCTGATAGCATAATTTGTAATGTTTAGCTCTTTGGATATATATGAATATCCTTTTATTAATTGCAGTGAGTCATCCCTGGCTTACTTTGAAATCTACTGACATATCCTAATGCAAAACTAAGGTCAGCTCTTGTACAAAGCATGATACATAATAGACCCTAATGGCTTGTTTATATGGACTGTGTTCCATTTTAGCCTTGTCTGTATCATTAATTGAAAATTCTTTCTTTGATAGCTTCATGCCCTTACAAATAAGAGTTTTCATTGGTTTGCAGTTTTTATCTTAAATCTCTTAAGAACATTCTCTAGATATTTTTATTGAGATAAGTGGAGAAGCCTAGAATTTATATCGCTTGCAAGTTTTATTCCCAAAAAATATGACACTTCTCCCATATCCTTCATTTCAAAAAGTGAATTAAGCCAAGATCTAGTTTTATTTATCATGTCCATATCATTTCCAGCTAATAGAATATCAACTACATATAGAGATAAATCACAAGTTTACTCCCACTATTCGAAAAATATACACAGTGATCCAATCTATTAGCTATATAGCTAATTTGGGCAATTGTTTTGTGAAAAGTTGAGCACCATTGCTTAGATGATTGTTTTAAACTATATAATGATGGGTGCGGGTTGTATAAAGCCGAGACTCTAAACAATCAAAGTAAAGAGCACCTTCATGTAGTGTTGAGAAATGTGGTTTCAATACTGGAAATCTTTGTGATAGCCTTAAAATATGTTTTCATCTATAAATATAAAATTTAAAGCTTTAAAAATAGTGTAGATCGAGCAAATCTATGAAACTTGAAAATTGACGGTCCAAAAATGCATTACAAGATGCACTATTTCCAAAACATAAAATCCATTTTTTTCTCATGTCCATGCATCTTGAGGTCGAGATGATCAATTTGAGGATATTTGGGCATCAAAACAACCTCTTCTAATTCCCTAATTTGATTGTTTAGAGCCTCACACTTATATAAACATTTTCCTATAATGATTTCTTCAATTTATATATGCTTTCTTCTTAACTTGTAACTACATATCCCTCTGATTGTTTCCTATAAATATCCTCTTTTAATTCTCCATTTGAGATATTTGTCTTAAAATTTAATTGGAATAATTCCAAGTCATAATAAACTATCAATGCTAATATTATCCTTATAGATGCAAATTTTGCCATAGGAGAATATATCTCCACATAATCTACTCTTTATTTTTTAGTAAACCCTTCAGCTACTAATGTAGCTTTATATTTATTAATGGTTCCATCAGTTTTAAATTTCTTCTTAAGGATCCATTTACATCCTACAACCTTCATATCTTTAGGTAGGTCTACAAGTTCCCATACTTGGTTTCTTTAAAAAGAGTTAATTTTATCATCCATAACATTGATACATTCAGATGATTTAGGTGAGTTGATGGCTTCACTATAAGTACATGGTTCATCTATCTCATCCTCATTTAAGAAAAAATAATATTCATCTAAATAAAAAGGAGGAGCTCTATAACTCTGATTTTTATCTAGATTAGGGGACTCAATAGGGTCAAAATCACTAGTTGTTGGTATACGATCCATGGGATTCCCTTGATCTTTATTGTGTCCTTCAAACAAGTTTCAACATCTAGTCACCTTTTCTCAAAAAACTACTTTCAACCTCTTTATTTTTATTTTCTCGTTACCTAATTTTCTAGGAAATGAGAATCCCTACTTTCAATAAATTTTCTATTTTTATTATTTTTCTACACTGGAATTCATGTGGCAGCATTATCGAATTGTGGTGGTGCAATCAACTTGTTTCTTTATCTCTGTTGGGTTGACCAAAGCATCACCATTGACAATTCAACTTCTTTTTTTTCTCACAAAAGGATTCACGCCATGGATATCAATAATATGTACGGACCTACACAAGCAAGGTACTTTTTTTTTGGGTTTTTAGAGACTTATTATCTCTCATCCTTTTTGGGTCTTTAGAGACTTATTATCTCTCATCATTTTTGGATTTGTAGAGACTTATTCTCTCACATCATTTTTTTGTGTTTGTAGAGGCTTATTCTCTCTCATCTTTTAAAGTTTTTGTCCTTTTTGTTGCCTCTCCCTCCTTTGTCATGTAGTGCTTCTCTCTCATCTAATAACTTCTTTTTTTTTTGTCTTTTTATTTCTCTTCTATTACCTCATTGGGCACACTTTTTGAGATCCAATTCTTTTTGAGCGTTTTTTTTACATACTTCTTACTGAGGCATTCTATCTCATGGTAAACTTTCCCATGAAACAACTTGAGGATCCAAGCAACAACATGATTACTTTGCGCACCCTCACTTGAGTTGCAAGCGCAAACTATTGGGCTCCAAACTTTTACAGCGAAGAGACTTGCACTTGTCACTCTAAATCAAAGTTCTTCATTTTGGTAATTCTTTGGAGGCCATTACCAGCTGTTCAAGGGGATCCGTGAACCACCATCAACCAAAGAGATGCAGCCATCATCATCTAAAAAAACAAGTTGGTAAATCATCCGTTGACAGAGTGGTTAGTTGATCTAACCCTTGAATTTCATTGATATTCCTATACTTTTTTATAACATAGCTGCTAGATTTGTGATGAGTAAACTATCTAAAACCGAAAAACTTAATGAGACAAATTTCAATATGTGGAAAAAAAAATGAACTACATCTTTATTCAAGACAAGATTTATTATGTTTTGACTTCTACTAAACCTGAATTGGGTTTAAACCCCTCTGCCCAAAGTAGAAGACGATTTGTGAAATGGGAAGGAGATGACAAATTAGAAAAAACCACATTGCTTACTTTATGAAGGATGATTTGATAAGAGTTTTTGAAGATTATGAAACTTCTAAATTAATGATGGAGGCTTGGATGGAAAAATAAGGATCTACATCTGAAACCCGTATTCAACCTTTGTTTCAAAAATGCAATTCATGTAGGATGAGGGGAAATGAATATGTGGTAGAGCATGTTAACAAAATGATTGTTCCGGC